AGCTCACTTAATTTACCTTCTGGTGAAATGAGATGACTACAACCTCGTTTGAAATGGGAGACGAAACATCCGGCCTGATGTGCATATTTAATGTTCGGCTCAGCCAAAAACTCCAACCGAGAGAACCTTTAGTGAATTTAACGGACTGCGATTGACGGTGGATGATTAGAAGTAAAGATTTTTTACCGCATGTTGTCCTTCAGTATTAGGTTAGGTATTTGAAGATTTGTCTAAAGACGTGGTGTGATGCTCGCGGCCTGTGACGTAAGACCATGTGGTCTTTTTATTCGATTCCGAATCATATGATGCTAGAAAGGCGCACCCAGCGAAAGCAAATGATAGCGAAACAGGTTGTGAATAAGAACTTACCGTAAAGAGTCGGCGCACGTGCGAAAATTGTGCTTCAAAAGCAAGGCTCTTAGTTTACGAAACCCAGAGGATAACCAATTTACGAATAGCATACTGAACATAGCTGAACAATGTTGGTCCCGAATGTTCTTTGTATCCATTGTTTTTTTGTCTTGGTCAATTAACTAGACGATCGTCCTCGGCGCACAATATTATAGTACTGTTTTGGCGCTTTTCAGCAGTTACGGTAACCCTTGCCTTAGTGTTAGAATAGGACGCGGAAAGGATTGCGAAAGGCACACGGAATCGGTGGTGACAATTGCGGTCATAACTGCTTACTGCGTCATATGTCTTGTGCGCCTTGAGTTGTCAGGGCCGCGGATTGCTCCATTTTCAAGTCTGATAGTGCAACAGAGACCCAGCTGCTGACTAAATGCATACGCTTACCCGATTGGCTGTCGTTCGACCTTGTGCAGTTTTCCCTACTGTGTACATTCGGTCCAACATCTTCATAACAATTCCGTTGAAACAGGCAGTTTTCAATTAGGACTGATACAAATAGAACAAACTTTGATGAGGTCGATAGCAATCAGTAGTGTTTAGTAAAAAGGCATGCGCCGAAGGGGTAGAAATGGCACGACTAGCATGCAGCATCAAATGAACGACACTCTGAATCCTGAAATATGGACAGGGATTCCAGAATGTGCCCGACCAATAAAAGGTAACTTCCTAAATTTTGGTAGATAGCTCTCCAGATACTGAAGATACCTGCTCAAGTCTCTCGATAAACTAAATTTGTTTGCAAATCGGTGTACTTCGCGAAAATAAGAAGGGTAGTATAGAAAACGGTCACTTTGAATATTACTGGTGTACGTAACTTTGAAAACGGCAAAAACTAATAATTCACTCATGTATCCTTCCTGTATTTATCAGTCTATCAAGAAGGTCAGCTTCCTGAAAGCAACCACTGAATGCCCGGAACCTACGGAGACTCTCAGCTCCGTTAGGTGTTGACCAGACAGACAACGCGCCCCCCCCCACCCGGTATGCAGCACGTCACAGCCTTGTATCAAACCCAGGCAGCGCGAGTCAGCGTTGATCAAGGTCAGACAACGCCCCCACGATATGCAACACGTCGCAGCCAGACCGTGTGCGTCAGCATTGGACCAAGTTCAGACAGTGTCTTTCCAATAAAAAGCTTGAGGCCGTTGTACTTTTCGCACTCGCGCTCTCGCAACCACTTTTGGAATACAGCTATTGTGTTCCCTTCCGTGAGCCTTTTTCTCCGACACTAGGCGCTGGAGCGGGTCAGCAGCAGATACCACAGATCGGCGAAGCAGCAGATATAACACAGCCCGATACCTTTCTTAATTTCGAATGGTACAATTGTATCAATCGTTTTATCACGGAATTTTCCACAAGGTCAGGCTAGAATCGTCATGATAGGGTGAGAAGCGCCGGGTTGATGGAAGCCTAAATTTGCTTAGCTCAGATTCTGACAAATACGGGAACGCCTTCTTTTGGTCCGTAGCCAGTTCTTGACATATTCGACATGAGGTTTGATAATTTCGAATGTCCCGCCTTGGGTTTTGTTACAATGCATCACACATCAGACCAATCAGGTTTAACAGAAATTTGGTGCGGCTTATCTTAATTGTTTGCTTATCTGAAGAATGTCTAAGCAGTAATCACTGAAATGCCAAAACTAGTTCTGTATATGACTGCAATCCATCTTCTCAAGGTCGATTTCCTCGCCGAGTTATTGATCCATCCAAGAAACTAACTTCATATTTACAACGATTTCAAAGCATGCAGCAGCTGCTTTTACGTTCGAACCGTTGATAACCCAAAGGCGAGTTTACGTGATTAATAAGAAACATACATGTGTTCGGACAATTCTGTCCGATACCAAACTGGAAGCTTCTTTCCGGAATAATTCCAGAAGAACAGATTTTATCTCAAGTTCACTGTCATACCATTGTTCGTGGTGCCACCGAACAATATTCTGGAATGATCGTCCACATACCACATACCTCGAACATCGCAGTTTGCGCCTCTCCGAATCGGAGGCATTAGCTTAGTTCCCCGATCATCTAATCCGCCTTCTGCACTTCATCACAGCTCCATCTACGAATGCACCTTCGTGTGATGCACGTAACATGGGGAGAACTTGATGCTTCTCACTCCTCTGGCATATGGCATTCGCCCAAGGATGGGCGAAAAGAGCTCTGCCAGGCAGGTGGCCCTCTTATATGCTGAGTACACGCCCCAACCAGTGTAACCTATGAAGCGTGAGTAATAAATCCATCGTGTGAGAGTTCCTCCTTCCTAAAACCATCTGGCGTCTCTCAGCATTGCTAATCTGATGCTCACATCGGATTCAACCAATGCTTCAGAAACGTCGATGGTCAAACACTGACAAATTGTGTGTCTCCTGCGCTTATAGGTCACGTTTCCGATCCCTAAAGCAGTACAGATTGCACTGTCCTGGTGTAAACTCTGTCCCTGACAGACAAACTGAAGTCACTTTAGCACCTTTAGTGTCGGAGTTTGGAGAATGCTGCCTTCCCGATTCGAGAAGTAGTCTCATCTCCAGCCAGTTCGCCAGAACATGTATAACTCTTAGGTAAAGAAATTTATCTACCAAATCAATTTGCTCGTCTGCAAGCACAAGGTCTATGGTTGATCTCACCCAGTCTCCTAGCGGCATTTTACACATTGGAGGTATGAAGCGTATGCTTTGGCAAAATGCTTTGCATTTTTGAAAGATATGCACCGGGTAGAGCATTATCGTCCGCACACTCAATGTCTCTGAGCGAACGTCCCGCGGGCATTTCGACTTCCGAGGTTTCAGAGACAGGCAGATCAATTACAAAATTGAACAGGGAACCTCGTATTACACCAGTGAACGTGGTGATCCCAGGCGAAAGCTTGCCGTATACTTGTCCACCCACGGGATACAGTGACCTCATAGGGTACATAAGTTTGAATGGGACACCTTTGAGCACCAGACACCGCCAAGGTCTCTGACGATCGACAGCAGCTTTCACCTCTATGAAAACGGTCTACGTGGAAAGTTCAAGGATTTGTCTCAAGGTATGGTTGATGCATTCCGGCAAAACGAATCTTGGTTCTTACGAAACTCTCTCTCGATGATTGACCGACATGAGCAAAATAATGCAAGGTAATGCCTGGTAATACGACTTATCGCAGTAAGGGATTAGGTGTTCTTCGTTGCACGGCTCATCGTTGGCTTTCGTTGTATGGGTGAACTGAAATGGACTGAGTCCTAGCTAGTGTAGCCAACAAGATCATTGCAGCGCCGATGACCGCAATTGATTGCTTGACGCTGGAGATATTAAGCTCCTCTGGAGTGCCTGGACCATTGTTAAAAACGATCAAAGCAACATCGTTTTGGCCGGAATTCCTCATAATTTTGGTCCCTTTCACCGACCAATGAAAGGGTTTACGTAATACGGTCTATCATACAACGTTAACTGTGAGAAATCCAGGAACCAGTTTCCATCGTGTGCCATTCTGCTTTCAGCCTATGCGGAAGGCTTTGTGTCACCATTGGACTGTGAACATGATACATCAGTTAACTCTTTCATACCAAATACGTGTGCGAATGAGTGTAGCTGGCGAACTTCGTACAATTTGGATTCAAGTAGAACATCAGGTTGACGGAAAATCGACCGCTGCATCTATCTGATGAGGCTCAAGTAAGGCACAACGGGTAATGTCCTTCGAAGTATTTTCTATCCAACATGAACTCTGATTAGTTATTTGTACTACCCATCTGGCCACGGACAAAAGTCAGTCTACTCGGCAAGGTTTTACCACTCTACATTCTCTGTTGGCCCATGTCTGTTTGTCTGACCGTATTACGATCCGCTCGCAACTATGGTTGTGACGGTACGGGATATGTCCCCCACTTAAAACTTCGTCTGAAGGCACTCTTTTCACGCTGTTCTACCTGTAGTTGTTGTTTCGCTTGTCCCAGACCTCCAGTGACTGTAACCATCCCCTACAGTCATCCAATCGCTACAGTTTGTCATTAATAATAAAAAAGACCCATGATTATTATAGCCCCATATACTATTTGCCAAACTCCTGTTGTCGGACTCAATACTGATGTGTCTGCTGCCAACTACGAAGGTCCTACCGATTTCCCTTGTACGTGAACTCAAAGAGTAACGAAAACCGGCACTGTGGAATCCGTCACAGTGTCCAGAATCTGAGGTTACCGGGCTGTCCAGGAAAGCCCTAGGAAGCGCTCATCAGGTAACGGGGGTTACCAATGAACGCAATAAATATGCTCTGTCCAGTCACTTCTGTACAGTGTATTCTCGAATTTCAATACATGTAGAACTGATTGCTAGACGCTAAGGTCAACATAAATCATGCTCCCAACTTTCGAATATTCCGTCGAAGTTCTGGCATCACGGGAACAAAAACTATATACGGTTGAAGAACGAGATCGTTGTCAAACTCCAGCCATTATTCGTAACATGTTGTCAATACATCTTGTAGATAGGGATCATTCTCACGCCTTGATGAGAGACCTGTCAAAAACGCTATCTGCCAATATAGACTGTCAAAAACAAGAGCATCAGACTTCAACTATGTATAGGTACGATAGTAGTACAGGACAGTGCGTATAAAAAAACTCACAAGACACTTTTTCAGACTGTAGTTGTTAGTTCACCACCAGGCAACCTGTCAAATGACCATTCCAAATAAACGAAACAAGCCAACGAGATGGAAATGGCCTATGCACTCGTGTAAAGGAGAATAGAGTAGAAAATACACGATCGGAAGCTTGCACGCAACAAGAGGCTTTACACTGGTCAAAATATATGCCAACAAGGGGGAAGGAACAATTGAACAATGGACTGGTTGGCATGGAAAGACTTCAGCACCACAAGCACCTGATTTATTGGGAAAGCGGGCCACGAGGTGTGTGAATGAGTGCAAGTGGGTAGGATGAGCCCGAGAAAATTGCAACCATGAGAGGAAGAGGGAACAGTAGTCAAGTTGCGCATAGGAAACACGCAACATAAAAAAGTTAACGAGAAAAGAAATGGTATATACTGGTTTTATCTGAACACAGCCCCAACCGATAGGCACGCTAGTGGGTAATAGGTTGAACGATGTCTAACAGTTTAATATCACAATTTCCGAAGCTGAGACGAACGATCATTACGTCCGAATAGCGTGTCGTGGAGAAAAAGTCATTGGAAGGTGAAAAGTAGGCGCAACGACAGAAGTAACAGTGGGGTTCACTCGGAGAAGAAGAGAGTAGCATAGCTATGCTACTAAGGATGAACAATGTATCGCGATCTGCCATATTTCAAAAGTGCTACTTCACATGTATGCCCGATACTTTAATAGGGCATATAATGTCGAGGTGGGAAATTGTATGAAACTCAACAACGAAGCAACGATGAACGTGGTTCACCAATGATGAATGGGAGCGAGGTGTGAAGGACGAGGATTCAGTTTTAAGCCCTGCCCTAAAGTGTTGCGGTGACTGACTTCTTGCCGAACGGGTGCAGCCGGATGTGGAGCCCTTAAATGTGTTCCAGGAAACCGATAACCGTTTAAAATGTTGGCAGTAGCACTGAGCATTTCGTGTTTATGGACTGTTTGTATTGGAAACCCCGGTGGATGGAATATAGGGTTGGGTACAGGAACAGAAGGAATGTTTGATCGATTAACGTCCACGTGTGCGGATGGGCCCTGGAACACCGGAGGTAGTTCGGTGCGACGACGTTTCGTGTCCAAATTAGGGGAATGACTTAACCCCAGTGGAGGGAAACCACCAAATGAGCCACTTGGTGAGGGCTGTGGTGGATCGGAATAGACCGATGCTGGCAAGGTTCCCCGAGGATTCGGAGTGGGAAAGGACCATTTCGCCCTACAGCCTGAAAGAGATGGGTCGCCAAGATACTGCGGACGCACGGCCAGTGCTGGTGATGAGGACGAGGAAGACGAAACAGGATAGGCGTTTTGGTTGTGAACGTTCTGTAAGGCTGATTGCCACAGTGAGTCAAATGAATCTTTGGACGGTATCTGTCCATTAGGTGACATCATTCTTGGTGAGCCGGACAAAAGTCCCTCGAGGAGATAGCTCAGGAACGCATTCTTTTGACCTGTCCTATCAACAGGTAAAGGACTAGGTTGCAGGAAGGATGGAACGCCCTGATTCCCAACAGAACCATTGAATCTTGGGAGCATGGATGGGGTTGATAAGGAAGGCAGAGAAGTGGCCGTTGGATTGGAATCGGGTGCTGGTAGACGGGTGGACCGCAAAACGGGATGCAGTAAATTAGATTGGGAAGAATGCGCGGCTGGACGGAGAGGGAGTCCTGCAGCTACCGGATCAACGTTATTACCCTTGGCAAAATCTGGTCGAGAAGGCCACGGTCCAATCTGCGATTGGTGGTGCCGAATGTAGTGTGCGATACGAACATGAGCATCAGCCCAATGACCACAAGTCTGCAAAATAAATGGGAGGCGATTGATCAGATACGAGCAATTGCTGTGCTAAAACAAAACCGATTTCAAGTGAAATGGGTTAGGGGAAACCGTTCTGCTTTCGTTGGACTTGTCAAGCGTAATTAAGACGCGGTATATTTATGTGGTCAAAATGGTTCATATTTTACTTGGTCAGTCGAAAGCTATTTAACCGGAATTAATTAATCATTGATTTCACGCCACACCAACAGATACAAAAGAAATTGCGAAACCTAACTGAAGGTTCGCTATTAACAGCGAGCGCTACGACTGTAATCCTGAATTTCTCTGACCCTTTTTCTTTAAGGAACCACACTCAACTACCCATGTCAACAAGAAGCCTGCCGCATTTCACGCTATCGAAACAAGTGGCTAAAATCAAAGAATCAGACAAACGACTTACATGGCCAGGATGAGTAGGGCGACTCAACATACTGGAATGTGAAGGCATAGATAAGGATGCTTTTGCTTTGTCCGACGTGAGGGTCGATGGCATCGATGACGATGCGTACGCTTGTTGGGAACCGAGCGCAAAAGGAAGACCACGTGTCGCAGGCAGTTGACAACCAGTTGGCAAAGATCGGGGTGAAGGAACCGGTGGTGGTAAGAAAAGGCGCGAAACATCACTGGCAATACAGGGAGCTGGCGGCTGACCGGGTTTAGGAAACAGCCCCTCGGCAGCACCATTGAGTTCTGTTGGGTCGCTGGCACGAGGTCCACTTATCTGTTAACAGCCGAATATATGGACGCAAGGTATTCAGTGATGGACTGTCATTGGCGTTCGAAACCAAAAATATGACCAGTTTGATAGTCTCATGCAACAGAATAAAAAAATAATCGTTCATTTGTAACGCCATTCCGGCACCTGGCTGCCATGCACCCCGAAGTAAGCATGAGAACTGAGATAGTGCGAGGTTGTCCAAGCCTAGTTTTGCCTGCTATGTAGCGAACTGAGCAAGCATCCAATAAGCGCGATTTCTCAACAAGGATCGACCTTGCATGTTCCAACAAAACTGCTCCAAAAACGGAAGACACTCCGATACGTTTTAGGTAAACTGTTGTGTGGTTTACAAATCTTGAAAGCTACAAAATATTAGCAGGAGCAGTCCTCTGACGGCCACAGCAGTCTTCTTATTCCGACAAAGTGATTTCTTCCAACTAGGACTTTCCAACTGATGTGGCATTCTCACATGACTAACGTGAGGTAGTTGTCCAACCTCTAGAACACGACATTTTCGACCGGTTCTGTCAGACCACTATCTAGTTTCACAGTTACCGACAACCCGGCATCAACCAAGGATTACCAATGAGGTCAGCTTCTTTATCAGGAACCCAAAGTAACAAGCGATATCAGCTCGACGGACAAATGCAGTTTCATTTGATTTAAGTATGATTGATATATACTGATGTCAAAGGGGGCAAGATGGACCAAGCGGTTACAGCGCGAATTTACTGACCGGAGGGTTCGTAGTTCGAACCCGACTTCTGCCTCTCGACTTCCCCTGTCTAGACTGGGGCAACCTGGCAGTGTCCAAGCCCTCGTGCAACCTTAAGGTGGCGTGGCAGTTAGGCACCGAAATGGTGCTACAGCTGAACGATCTCGACCGATATCAAACGTTCATTCCTGAGTTTGAATTGGAAATTTTTGGGAAAACTTTTCAAGCCCTCTGTCAGTTGGAACACTTCCTAGATGTCTTGGAAATATCCAATAATTTCACTTGTCACGGGTGGTATATTACTGTCTACTGTGACAAAACTCCGCGTTGTGCGTAAGACAGAACAAGGTGGATGACTTGGTCGATAACTAGGTAGCATGATGCAATGGCCTATTTGTGTTCCGTTGCACGGGCTCCTAATCTCAATTAGGTACCACAAGCATGCAACTGTTCTTCCTCTTGATCGGGTTCTATTGCTACGCCGAGGACTATTTAGTTACGACAAAACGGCCCGTTTGACTAGTTAGTGTGAGCCCAAGGAGTGAACAGATTTCCGGTCCATATCCATGTGGACAGATCAAAAATGCTAGTACAAAATGAGGTGGCTTCACCATTGAGTGTATGGTGAAATTGATGGAAATTCGGCGAAAAGCCGACAGCTGATCGGGTAGCACAGTTCCCAAATTTTATTTAATCTTTTGCCGCGTTCACTGATCAAGGTTGTTAAGTAATCCCATGTCATTCATCCTTCATTAGTTCACGCCCCGAAGGGACCGTAGTGCATCTTATAAGGAAAATAGAGATGGGAAATAGAAATTTTGTCCGAGGGGGTATGCCGTAAAAACGGAAGTTGTTTGTTCACCCATGTTGCAGGAGAAACGAGCGATGTTCAGCCGTAAATTGGTCTGAGAAGCCGAAGATTCCCGTTGATAGGCTGATACAGTACAGTTTCGGCCAGACTTGCATCCCGGTTCCAGCAGCACCAGGATCTGTGGAAATGTCAAATGTACTAGTGTGATATCACCTTTTGAACAAGTCCTTCATCACTCGATACAAATGACCGGCCAAGGTTCTGCCATCGGCCTGTTTTCTCTCAGATCACCCAAGGCTGAACTTGACTTTTGAATACCAGGAAGAAGTAAATTGTCATGCTAAACAGTGCTCTGATTTCCATGTAGTATGTTGGGAACGATTGACGTCAAGACTTGCGAAATTCCCGGTTCGTTTTAGGAGGCTAACATTTTACCCACCAATACAACGGTTGGGTGGCGGGGTCGGGTTAAAGTATGCTCCTAGATGGTAAATGGCGTTGTTAGGGGTGGGGGGTAAAGGGGAGCCACTTTAGTTTTTTTCTACATCGGTTCCTAACTCCCGGTCCAGCTGAGAATACCTTGCACGCTGATGTTCAATAGGAGGTTATGTTATTCTGCCCAGTGGCGAGTTAATGTCAATCACCTGCAGGGAAATGAATAACTCATTAGTGGAATGTGTGGTCGTTACATGCTGGTTCTTTTGTATACCATTACACCGTCATCGCATACGTAGATAACCTGCAAAACTTCATGCTTATTGAAGTGGCGTCGGCTAAAAAGGGAACGCAGCTAACGCGCAGTGACACACTGTTTCCACAGGAATGCTGTTGTTTCCTGTCACCGCGGTCTGTCACACTAACACTACAGGTAAACTTAGGCATGAAGGGCATACGAATGCAACATTCACAGCGGATCAACACAGCAAAGCGAAAAGCAACAAAGGCCTCGACGTAGAAAGTAGGATGAATTCGTTAGCGGTTAAAAGTGCACGGTTGTCCATTCACTTTAAACTTCGTGGAGGACTCCCAGTCTGAACGTTGCATTCGATTTACGTCACTTTTTGTGGTGCATATGTTTTTAGTATGTGTATGTCTCAGTGCTCCAAACAGGTGGCAATGTCTTAAAATTTGAAGACCGAGTTATTGATACGAAGACTTATTTCCCTAAATCCTGTCAGTTCAGTTAGCCAAAATTTTTCACCTGCAATTGTCCTACCGGTTATTTTGTACTGCTCACTCGTTGTTTGAAGCAAATTGCTGAAAAAGGAGCATTTGGCTTTTATTAGTTTGTGGTAGTTTCCGCTTTCATCATCCTCGTAGAGGAACTTACGAACGCCCGTAAAAATCTCCTTAAGATCGCACTCTGAAATGCACATTGCACTGGGCAGAATATCAGTAAATCAAAAAACTATGTGGATCGTTATTGCCTGATGACCTCAGAGTCATCACCATTCAGGCGAACTTTTGGGACGAATATTCAAATGACCTGTTTTCCATCGTGAAGTGTTTTTATCCTGCCAAGTCACTTCTGTCTCCCGTCCCCAGGCTACTGGTTAATTTCTTCGGTTTTCATATGCATGTCTATGTACACACACGTCACTGTCAACTGAAAATTCCAACGAATAGCGATGAGGCCTTGTCAAACCTTATCTGTAGGTTTTGCGCCACATGTAACAAAGCAAGAAAGGGGCAGCGACACAAAGCGAGTGAGTGTTGATGATCATCGCAGGTGCATTACGTATCGTTAAATTGAGTGCTTTAGTAGAAAATCCTTTAAAATCACATGACTGTTGAAGTTCTGTGGTAATCACCACTTGAAAGCATTGTGATAGATTGACACACACAAACCTAGGATCCTATACATGGGCTGTCATCCCCTAAAAATAGTTCCAAACAATCACGCGTTAGGCTTAAAACTTTGATATATCGAATTCTTGCCAAAACATGCAGGCATCATTCCTGTTCGCACAAAATGCCGCTTCACTTATGTCACGGATGTGATCACCAAATGTAACAATGGAAAAAACGAACAAAGCGGTCAGATCATGCAATAAGTGTGTCGTTTTTGTGGACTGAATGCGTTGGAATGGGAGAGGAACCTCGGTAGCTGTAAAAATAAGGGGCGTGCTCGCCATGAAGTGCGTACAAGGAAAGCATCAGTGTGCAACTGTTTTTCGCATCTTCAGCATGAAGTCGGTCTTGTTATTTTGTGCAAAAAGTCAAGTATCACCCTCTAGCTTCCTCTGAGCGATCAATGTGTGAGATGAAAATCGTTTGTTGGGAGCGTCCGCAATGTGGCCAAAGCGACTACGTTTACTGTTGTTCGAATCTAAGGAGACAAGAAGGTATCATCGCTCAAGCATGCGGTTTCACCTAGAGTGGTGATGTATAGAATGCATACTCACATGACTCCCGTTTGAACGCGTGCCTGTCCTGGGGCAATAATTCTAGCGGGAAGGCACCGGACTGGAGTTTCAGTCTTATTAGAACTTATCGGCAGCGCACATCCTTGGCTGTGCCGGGGTTTGAACTCTGCACATCTGGCCAAGGGTATGCACCGCTGATGAGCTCTAATATGAGCGAAACTCAAATCCAGGGCTTCCCTCTTTTGGTGTGAACTCACCAGAATGATTGTGCCAGGCCAGGAGAATGATTTTTTAAACAAGAATAATGTGAGGATGAGAGTGAGAGTCTACAGAACCCCGCAACCACCAATACCTCGTGTATGTCTGCACTATCAGTTGGAGAAATGCAAAAGAGCAACCGGAAGCTTGGAGAAAAGGTAACAATCGTCTGGCCTCGGAATTCTGTCGGGTTGTACAGAAACGGGGACGCACTGGCCACAACGTATGGGTCACTGTATAACTGTATTCCACCTTCTATGCCTGTCTGAAGCCAACTCGCAGTTGAATGGAAACGCGCAAAAATCAGGGTCACTAGATCGGGGCATATGAGGTAACCTACGAGTCCCTCCCCAACCAATTAAACTAACGATGTGCCCCACAGCTGACTAGCTAACTAAGGATCTTGAGGATAGACGATTAAGAGTTGTTTGTTTGATTCGAAAGACGAGACCATACACGGATTATCAGGGCTTTCTTCAACTCAACGGGGAATTTAGGTAAATTTCATTCTGAATGGCGGCAGTGAAACATCAATGTTGTCATCTGGTTTTACTGTCAATGGTGATTAGGAATGAAGTCAGAATCAACAAAGTTAATGTATTCAAAGACACCAAACTGACATCAGAGTTGTTTATTCCATCATCCCTATTGACAATCAAACAGAATAAGTGGAACGTCGAAGGTACAATGAGATCATCTCAGTGGGACATACTTGGACAGCAACGTTTACTAGAGTACATAGATAGTAAATCAGCTGATGGGTTGTTACACGGAAACGAATGGACCTATTTTGCCCGTTACTACGTACATTCCGAGCAGTGAATTGTCTTCTGAAAATCCACTCTACAGTGTAACTACTATCAATGTAAATTCAACTCGGTGAGGATTCCATCTCAACTAGGAGACTACCGATTACGTATTGGCATTATTTTTGAACTATGAAGTGAGTACCGGGTGCAGGTCACAACGGTAAAAAAACAACTGCCATGCTATTTTTCATCTGGATTTTTCTGCTTCAGCTGAATTTTTTATTGGATTACGCGGAATAAGTAGAAGACTTCGCGGTTTGGTGGGGAAAATATGCGAGTCTGTGCTCGTGAAACTGGATCACTTGGAAGGATTTTTACCCTTAAAGTGTGCCAATCAGACGAAAAGTGAAGAGACATTTATAAGATTTTAAAATCTCTACTGAATAAACACCCGTTCGTAAAGATAAAGCGAGAAATGAGACGAAATCGAAGACTTTCTTTACGGATTGTTTTGGACCCGAAATAGCCTTAGGGTTGGTGCTACTGCGCGTTTCACACTCGGAAACCTCGGACCACACACGCATTTCATGATACGCAGCGGATGCGCCAACGACCAACCTGGGAGTATCCCAGTTGTCGTGCTTCCTTCTGGTGGCAGTTAGGCGCCGAAATGATGCTACAGCTGAACGATTTTTTTGCGGCTGTCTACTAACGTGGTGCGGCAACCACTTTCACGTCCCTTGCGGCTGTTTTAATGATGCGACAGCGTACACGATGATAAATATTTGGAGGTAAACAGTGCTACACTATGGCCCTATGAAAACACTCCAGTGGTTTGTCAATCAAAGCATCTATAAACTAGAATTCAGAGTGAGTCTCCTGAATAAAAATCTTTAGTGGATGTGGTGGTAGTGATGGTGCCTTGGGCTTTGGTGACGCACTACTGCGTCATTGTCGCATAACTACACCCAAAGTTTCACATGTTTTGGCAGTTACTTTGAGGTGATTATGGACCACGTTTTCTCTAAAGAACCTTATCAAACAGCGCCGCTTGCAGTAACCGAGTGGGGTAGTCAATTGATATTTTCTTACCCAAATGTATCTGAGGTTAAATGTTTCACTTGTTCATGCTTGGCGGATCCTTGGGGTAGAATAATTCGACACAAGTGGTATGTGACGATCACTCAAAATCCGGAGGGCGAACGCTACCAACATCGCCGTTTCATGATGATGAAAAACAAAGGAAAATTTGTCGAACATCACCGCAACGGAATCTCGGGGAAGCCTGTGTACCGCACATTATGTGCGATATGCTATTGATAAGGGGGTACTCCATCAAGTCCCTAGTCTTAAAGCATACATGTGAACTCACAAAGCTTCGTTTGCTAGTACCAGGCATATAACAAGGTTCGCGGTTCGACTTTTTCTGTCTGGGCAACCTGGCAGTATCCCAGGACTCACGCTTCCTTCCGGTGGCATGGCAGTTAGGCACCGAAATGGTACCACAGATGGGCGATTTTTTAACAAATATCCTGACTGGGCAGTAAACCATCGAACCACGATGGTTTATCAGCAGTGAGCCTAATGTGTACTCATAGCCCAAAAGTCTGTACAAAGTAACTCCCCCAAGTAAACGGTCACATTTGGGTCGAAACAAATGATAAAGCTGAGTGTATAAACGAACACTTCACAGGTTAGAACGGTATTCTGACTTACCTGTCTTTTGAAAAGCGAAGCCCACTGCTTGTGAAAAGAGCTCCCGAATAATTCCTGGAATGGAAGATATGTTGAAGCCGGTAGAGGTGGAGGCGGGCAAGGTGGATGAAATGTAGGATTGCCAGAAGTGGCCACAGCGACGTGACTGCTCAGTCCAAAGTGAGGGGATTGACTTGTCCGCTGATTAGCTACGTGGACCGAAGGCGCTGATGGTGGTTGACGAGAACCATCCCGAATACTTCCCGAAAATTGTGAGGTATCGTGTCCTGGTGTTTCTGGAAAGGACCCACCAACAGTGAGCGAGGGTGGGAGCGGTAAATTTATTGGAAAATTGGGTTGAGGGTTAGGAAGAGTGGGAAACGGAGATTGATAGCCCAGTTGATTGCTTTGCTTACAGGGCACTGGCAAAGAACCTGGCAGGCGATTGGCGAATTTACGGATATTATACGCGGCATGAAGAAGGCTGTGTGTGGATGGATCCTGTGAATCTGGAGTTAGAAGGAATGGTAGACAATAAATGTGAAATAAATATATTCCTCTTACCAACAACAAACTTAATAGCATACGCATTCCGTTTCAATTACTTATTGCTTCCTTAAAAGCTCACAATGGTATGAAAAAGGCGCGAAAATGAGTCAATGTTTGAGACATCTTGATTGGCTGCGTGGGAAAATTAAGCAGCAAGAGTGGGGCTAAAAATAATGGCCAACCATCTGTGTCCTCGTGGCTACAATCGACAGATCAAATGGATCTTTCATTTAGAGGCTCGCGCTTTAATCCCTGAACTAGAGCACCTTAGAGCACCTCCTCGGTGAACAAAACAAATGCTATCTAGACAACTCCCGACATTTTTCTCAGCAAATTAAAAGTTTTTTCTTAAAAGTCTTGGCGTGCACCCTAACAGTGACTTAAAGGTAAGTCATAGGGTAGAAAGTAGGAACCAACCCACATAATGGTCGCAAATGAGTGATGTCATTATATATATATATATATATATATATATATATATATATCTGTTGAGATCCCTC